ATTTTCATTTTGGGGAATTTCAGATTTCTAAAGTTCGAGTTTTTTTTGGATTAATTAGTCAAATTATGGATATGAATTATTATAATTCAATTGGTTTTGACTCATTAAAGTTTCGTTTGTTTGTCAATATATGTATGAGTTATCATGTATAACTCAATAAGTTTTGACCCAATCGATATTTGGCACGTAGACTCGTGACTTTTTTATAAATTTGAGTCTTCATTGTTTTGTGAAAATTCATAAGAATTTGGATTTATTTGTCCGAAATTTATTGTTGGCTTTAAATCTAAAAAGGTTGAATTTGTGAGCTCATTTTTGTACTTTAAGCTCAAATTCAAATAAATATGAATTTTATGATTTATGGTTTAGGCTCATCTTTGGGTTATAAAGTGAAGATTTCTAGTCGACTTTATTTTGACTTTAAATCTAAATAACGTGAAATTTGGGTTCATAAGATAATTTAATTAGGCCTCTGACTAAAGATTGTTTGAGAAAGTCTAAAGGCTTAAATTCAGTTAAAATTCAAATATTGGTTTGGTTTATGTATTTTGATATGAATTAAGAGAAGCAGCATCTCGCCTAAGTGAGCTCTCCTGTGAAACTTAATTTATTTTAAAATACAAAAGGTTTTGTGCATGTAATAATGTGGGTATTGTGTCGGCCCTAAGGAAGGCCAATACTTTGCTTAATTGCATGTGCATATTGTGGTGGTAAACGCGTGGCGATTATTTGGTGTTTTGCATGTGAATAATAGTTTGGCCCTAAGGTAAAATTATTATTTGATGTGCTCTTATTGTCAGTGTTTGATTACTACACCAAGATATCACTTACAAGTTAATATCATTGTCCAAAGATAAGTTATTAATGGAGTGCCCGATATCTTGAGATGGAATATACCTTTATTTGAATTTGTGGTTGATACATAATAAATATGTGACGGTTATTAGAATTTCATGCGAACTGTAAATTGGCCCTAAGGTAGATTTATTGTTTGACACGATAGTTTACCGTCAATATTTATTTATAAAAGGTTGCCGCTTAAAAGTTAACGAGTTGTCCATAACGTCAAGTTAACATTGGGCTAGGTATTTTATGATAAATGAACCCAATTCCGTTTAATTATGTCATACATACATAGATTCTATTTGATATTTTTATGACATAATAGTAGTTGTGAGCATGTCTTCTTGTTTATGTTCTCTATTTAGTTCATGCTTCCGCTTCTGCGTTATCTGTCAATGTTAATTTTGGTTCTTGTGCTTTATAGCATAATTTACTTATTATTAAGGGTGCATAGATCTTGATTTTACCTTTTAAAAAGAACGACCAACTAGTTTTTTTTCGGAATTAAAGTTTCCTTAAGGTTAAGGTAAAAGGGACTTAAAGAATATGATCGTTCTAATTATAAGTATTAAGATCATTTGGTGCACTATTTAAGAAATCTTTAGGGGCATCAAGATTGATAGGGCAAGTACTAGAATATTTCTTAAGGCACTTTTGATACGTTTTATTATTAAAATGACAAGTTTGAATCAAGTATAGTTTTTGACTAATCTTGCTTCATTATTAATAAAAGAAAAGAAATATAAAGGAGTACATTCAGTATTAGTTTAATCTCACTTTCGGCTTAAGCACTAAAGTTACGATTTATTAACTTTAAAGTGCATATGGTTTGATTTTTCTTTCTACATCTATAGTCAACATAAGGTTTGTTTCAAAACCTAAAGGATAAATGAATTCTTTGTCAGCTCTTATTTGACTGTGTAGAAATAAAATGACATAAGTGAGAAAAGACTAAAAGTACTCAGTTGGCTATTATCTCATAGAATGACACATTGTTGCAGTAGAGACATCATAATAGATTTTCCAAAAGTAACAGAATCATGTCCGCTTTATCTGTTATTTAAAGATATGAGTCTCCAAAGTATGTCAAATGACAAGTAAGGTTTTGCTTCTAATCTTAAGAGAAGCACTAAAGACTGCAACATATGTTTCTTTTTTTTTTAAGAGGGATGTATAAAATCTCTTAAGGATATTGAGTTTAAGGGGGGAGAAAGGGTTATACTCATTGTTGTATGAAAGAGATAATTTATTTTTCTCATTTTGTTGCTATAGACAATAATAAAAATACTGTCTTCTCCCACATGAAGGAAATTGCTCCTTAAAGATAAACTCAACAACCTTAAGAGAATACAATATTAAATTGAGTTAAACTTAAGATGATAATGACATTTGGGATCTTATCAATTGTCAAAAGTGTGAAATCATTTGGTCACAAATGTATATTTGAGACCGTTTGAATTTCAATAGGCAATGTTGAAAAAGTTATAACTAAAGTCTAATCACCTAGAGTTTCACTCAATACGGACTCTGTTTTAGAGTTTTAGGATTCCATAAACGGTGTTACAACTCATAATGATTATCTCATATTTGTGAGGTAAATAAAGTTAATGTTTGTATATACCATGTGATACGTGGGAGATAATCCTGCACCTCTCATTCAATGCCCAATAAAGATCTTATGGTAAAAGAAGAATGCAAAAGGTTCTCTATGCTGTCAACTTTGGGAAATTATATGCATACTTCGGTATGTACGCATTCGGCTAAATCATAGATAAAGTTAGGCAGATGTTTAAATAATTCCTTAAAGTAGATATTTGAAAAGAAACAAAAGGATTATACAGTAATTATAGAGAACATAAGGTCATTTATGCTCATTTATCGAAATCAATTCATTTGGGAGATCATTTGGTTTTTTTGATTTCGAGTTTGTATGATGCTTGTACATTATAGATCCATTTAATGTATACCTAATTAAAAGAGAATTTAAGTACGAGTGTTTAGCCAACACCCAAAACTCTTTTTTAACTACGGTAATCAGTTTATAAAAGCATCTTATTTTGTAATATACAGAGTGGATAGGTGTCTATAGAATACGTCGATATAAACTCCATTATGTGTGCACACTAAGGATGTCACCCAAAAGGTCTCATGAGCATATTGCTCGTATGGGTGTCATATTAATTAAGGATATTCGGTTTTAGTGGGAGTTTATAATAAATGTGTTCTTTTGGCGTAGACACAATTTTTTGGGTTAATTCGGATTAAGGATACTCTTAGGATAATTTCTGCAGAAATAAGGTTTTGGTTTATTCACACTCTGATTTGTTAAGGTTTGATCTCGTTAAGGAGGACCAATTGGAAATAGGTATGTTAATGTCACATTGCATGACATTTCCATGCTACACATCCACATCATAATCTATGTCATTCAATTGTGTTGATATTGTGACCATTGTTGGGTCCCGTTACGACTAATGTGAACGAAGGCCCCTTTGATTCAGTGTTAGCATGATTGATGGACGAGATTGGTTATAGACACACTTCAGTAATGACAGCAAAGTTGAGCTCAAAATTTATTTATGCAACCTATAATTATAAAGTTACACATATAGTCCAAGTGGGAGATTGTTGGAACATTAATCCAACGTTGGACTTATATGTGAAATATTATGTGTTGCAAGACTGTCACGTAAAGTTAAGCCCGTTAAAGTGATCGACTAAAGTTTATCTGGATTGGGCTTTAATGTGTCTAATAGGGTGTGGGCCTTTAATGTGTAGAGACATTAGGGTAATTTTATTATAGTGATGGGCTAAAATAAAATTACACAAGATAACCCATTAGGTTATCTATATATATTGGTCATGGTCCCCGGGTCACATGTACGAATTCCGATTCTTTATGTATTCCATCGACATAAAGAAAACGAAGAGAAGTCTAAAGGGTTCTCTGGTTCGGATGTACATGATGATCTGGAAGATCCATGATCGTTTCATATCAATTCCACCGGAGTAAGGTACGCTTCCGATTTATATTTATGCACAATATTCTTGATGATTCGGCATGACGGTTCCATGGGATTTATTCAAGTTTATTCCAACAGGTGTCGGTTACGCAATCGAACGCATTCCAGCGCGAAAAAGAGCTTGAATAGGTTGCCTAATGCACTCCTTTTGAAACAATCCAACGACTTTTGGATTGTCTGAACTTCGATTTTTCACTTGTTGAAAACAATATGATATGTAGGCCATTTTCTTTGTTTAAATTCGTTTTATCTTGTGTTGTACGACCGACAAAAGGGAGAATTGCGTTTTTCGTCCCTCGTGTTTGCCCAATTCCACTTTCCGTCCCCGTTGTTCTAGAAGTGAGATTGTCAAACCATTACTTGATATCAACTAATCTGCAGAAATAGAAATCAATATATAATTAATTTTCAGCCTGCATGCAGGCTCCAAGTATGAATATAGTTACCTAATAATTCAGAACTAATTTAACAAAATATCATTACCACTAGCATTAATATTCAAATTAATTCACATTGGGTATGGTGCTATTTTACTATTCGACTTTTGAACAACCAAATTATTCGTTGACTTATACATAAAAAAATTAATTATAGCCGATGCCGACGAAAATTGAATGGATAGAAATAAGCGATCATGCAAATTGAACAAGAAATTAAAAGAAAATAAATGAGCTCAAGTACCAACAAGCATGGAATAATGGACATACAATATAAGTAGTTGTAAACGAGTCGACCTTGGCTGTTTTGGCGAGCTCGAGTTCGAGAGAGTCGAGCTTGTCGAGATCGACCATGAGTCATTCATTTTGTGTATTTTTTTTAATTAATATTATCAGAATTTTATTATTATAAATTATATAAAAAATATCAAAATAAAAAAATGACCTATAATTTATTTTTTAATTATTTATGTGAAATTTTACAATTGTATTTAAAATAAAAATATTTTTTTAAAAAAAAAACTCAGCATGCTCAAGAACAACGAAGAATGAGATTGGGCTCCACTCGTCAGAAAGATTGCTTGAAAAATTCGAGTTTGAACTTTTGTTGAGTCTGCTCATCGAGCTAAGAAGACCGCTCAGCTCACTTACAACCCTACCTAGCTTTCTTAATGATTTGTTTATAATTTTATTAAATAATTTATTTTTGTTTTTACTATTGTCTAAGGTCCTGTTTGATTGCACTTAATGACCTCTTAATGACCATTTAATGACTATTAACATCTTATTCGGTAAGACATTATATTTTCAGTGTGTTTGATAGTGACCTCTGAATGGAACCATTCACTTCTGATCGATTCAGTCAAAAAATCATAACTTATTGATTCAGAGGTAAGTTGACTGAAATTAAGACGAAATTATCCCCGTATAAAATTTTGTCCCTCCCTTTATAGTTCTCTTTCTTCGTTCTTGTTGGAAAGAGAATCAAATTGTCCATTTTGTTTTGTAGTGACGAAAGATGGTTTCCACATAATTATTTTTAAATTGGAATTGCCCTTTTTTATTGTTGGAAGAGTGGAATCCAAATTTTCTTTTATGGTATTTTTTATTTATTCGGTATTATTAGTGAAAAAAATATCATCAAATAATTGTAAAGGTCACAGTGAATATTTCATTTATATATATTAATAGTTAGAATATATTAATATATATATAATTCGGTAAAAATTGTATCGAACCGTACCAGAATCTCGGTAAACCAAAATTGCAGTAGTCCGAAAATTTGTACCATAATTAATTTATTTTTTTGGTTCGATACTGGTAAAAGCAATAAATATATTTTCTTATTTAAAAAAAATAAAAATAAATATTTAAACTAATTAATTCTTGAATTTGACATTCAAATTACAATAATCGACCCTAAAAATAAAAAGTGATTTCAATAGAGGCTAATTTGGAAATAATAAAAAATATCAAATTTAAAAGTATTTTATAATTTGTTATAACCTTAAAGGATTTAAAATAAAAAATAAAATATTAAATATTTTAGTATTCGGTACGATACGGTAAATCGGGCATCAATATTGTATACCGTACTAAATACCATAATTCAAAAAAAAAAAAGTTGCTGAATGAATACTAAACATAATTTTCGGTTGATTATTTGGCGCGTACCGAATTTTCTATCGATTTACCGACGAGTGAACACTCTTAAACGTATGTCCACAATTTTGAGGACTAATATAGTAAAATTATACGATTCAAATGTAATAAATTTACAGTTATCAAACAAACTTAATCATTATACATTCAATATTCAGACATTGTGCTTAACAATTCAGTTATTTATTCAGCGTTCAGTGTTCAGTGTTCAGTGCTTAATTCTATCAAACAAAACTTAACTTTAAGTAATAGTTACTTCAACTCGTGAAACGAACTCGGTTCAATCGGTCCGACCGGCGGTTCCGGTTTGGAGTCCTGTGTCATGTAGTAGTTGGGCGTTATTTGATTGTCTTTATTGTTTATTATTTCCCATCTCCGATTCCCACCTTCCCTCATTCATTATTCATCGATTAAAGGCAAAAAAGAAATGATTTTTATTATTAATTATATAATTTTCGAATCCAACTGTTTCTTTCGTCCACGGCGGCTTCTTTCTTCTTTATTATATTTTCTTTTCCACAGCTGTTGTTGCCGCAAAATCTGGAAATTCTACTTTATTTTTATATATACATACATGTGTGTGTATATATATATATATATGCGTGTGTGCGTGTGTGATACAAGCTCGTTGTATGTAAATTGAGGGTTCTGTGGTCAAGTAAAGTATGCTATTGCACGGTGAAGAATAGTAAGTAATACTAATTTCATCTTTATATATATATATATATATATATATATATATATATATATATATATATATATATATTGATCATCATCATATTGTTATGTTTGTGGTTATTTCTGTTCACATTAATTATTGGGTGTGATTTACTTCTCAATTCATTACTTGATTGCATAAGAATGTTGATGTTTATACAGTTTTAGCTGAATTGCTCACTGATTAATTGTATTTAAAAAATAAAATAAAATGAATTGCTGCTACTAATTGGGATTTTGTTTTTTAAATTTATAGAAAAGTAGAAGGAGAGTGTGATGGGGAGTGAATGGACCGCGTTTTGCGGTGCCGATTCGCCACCCTCATCGTGCGTAAACCACGCGTCGATAATTTGTTTCGACGCCCTGCTCTTGATCGTTTTCTTGTTCACTGTATTCTCCAAAGCATCACCACACAACACGGCTGCATCTATTCGCAAAAAATCGATTTTGCAGCTAGTGTCGGCTATTTATAACGGACTTTTGGGATTTTTTTACTTGTCTTTCGGAGTTTGGATCTTGGTGGAGAAGCTAAGAAAAACTCGAGCTTTTCTACCTCCGCAATGGTGGTTGGTATTCATTATCCATGGATTGGTATGGTTATTGCTCGGGTTAACCGTAAGCCTTAGGGGACAAAATTTTTCGAGAATTCGATTGAGAGTGTTGTCGATTCTAGTATTCGTCTTTTCCGGAATTACGTGCGGGTTGTCACTTTTCAGCGGTGTTCTTGAAGAGAAGGAGATGTCGGTTGAGATAGTTTTGGATGTGTTGTCTTTTGTTGGATCGAGTTTGTTGGTGTTGTGTACTTACAGAGGTTACGAATACGTAGCTGACGATGAGAATAATATTAATGCTCCATTGCTCGAAACAAAAGATTATTCTCCCGAAGCAACGACCCCGTTTGCAAACGCGGGTTTTTTGAGTAAATTCACGTTTTGGTGGTTGAATCCATTGATGAAAAGGGGAAAGGAGAAAACCCTCGAAGACGAAGATATACCCAAATTGCGCGAAGAGGATCGAGCGGAATCGTGCTATTCGGTATATACGGAGATGTATAATAGACGAAAGAAACGATCCGATCCATCGATTTTAAAGACGATACTGCTATGCCACTGGCAAGAAATTTTGATTTCGGGTTTCTTCGCACTACTCAAGATAGTTACTATCTGTTCGGGTCCCGTTTTGCTCAAAGCCTTCATTAAAGTTGCAGAAGGACAAGAAAGTTTCGATCACGAGAAATACATACTTGTCGTAATACTCTTCTTCACGAAGATCGTCGAATCGATATCTCAAAGGCAGTGGTACTTTCGAGCTAGGCTGATCGGTATCAAGGTGAGGTCGCTGCTGACATCAGCCATTTACCGAAAGCAGCTGAGATTATCGAATGCCGCTAGAGTAACTCACTCGAGCGGTGAGATAATGAACTACGTGACAGTGGACGCTTATCGAATCGGAGAATTCGCATTCTCGTCGCATCAGCTGTGGACGACCAGCCTCCAGCTCTGCCTCGTCATCGTCATTCTCTTCCAATCCGTGGGGCCCGCAACAATCGCTTCGATGATAGTGATCGTCGCCACAGTTGCTTGCAACATGCCGCTTGCGAAACTGCAGCACAAGTTCCAGTCGAAGCTGATGGTGGCGCAGGACGTGAGGCTGAAGGCGATGGGCGAGGCTCTCGCGAACATGAAGGTGCTGAAACTGTACGCGTGGGAAGGGCATTTCAGGCACGTCGTCGAAAAACTGCGCGCCGTCGACTACGAGTGGCTGTCGGCCGTTCAGATGAGGAAAGCGTACAATTCGTTTCTGTTTTGGTCTTCGCCCGTGGTGGTTTCTGCTGCTACGTTCGGCTCGTGCTATCTGCTTGGAGTTCCGTTGACTTCGAGCAACGTGTTTACTTTCGTGGCGACTTTACGCTTGGTTCAGGATCCCGTCAGAAGTTTTCCCGATGTTATCGGTGTGTTCATTCAAGCTAAAGTCGGTTTCGCTAGGATCGTAAATTTTCTAGAGGCACCTGAGCTCGAAACCGAACATAACCGAGCGAAGCAGCAAACGGACGATGTAAATCAGATTAGTGTTTCTTTTAAGTCGGCCAATCTTTCGTGGGACGAGAATTTATCGAAGCCTACACTTAGAAACATCGATTTGACCGTTAAACGAGGCGAAAAGATTGCAATTTGTGGAGAAGTTGGTTCCGGAAAGTCGACACTTCTTGCAGCAGTTCTTGAAGAAGTTCCCGTAACCGAGGGAACTGTGAGTTACTAGTTACTAGTTACTTACCGCTTTTCGTTTTTCGTTTTAAGTAATTATTTAACAATCAATTTTAATTGTATTTTTTTAAGGTTCAAGTACACGGGACAATAGCCTACGTGTCTCAATCAGCCTGGATTCAGACAGGTAGTATACGAGACAACATTCTCTTCGGTTCTGCAATGGATAACGAGAGGTATCAAGATACACTAGACAAGTGTTCGCTCGTAAAAGATCTCGAGCTGCTACCGTACGGAGATTTAACCGAGATCGGAGAAAGAGGAGTCAGTCTCAGCGGCGGTCAAAAGCAACGAATTCAACTCGCACGAGCTCTCTACAAGCGTGCCGATATATATCTATTGGACGATCCCTTTAGTGCCGTTGATGCGCACACCGCCACAAGCCTGTTTAATGTTCGTATCTATTTATTATTATATTTTTTTAAAATTTATATGTTTACGCTTTCGTTTTCTTAATTTCGAGCTTATGCAGGAATATGTCATGGCAGCCCTTTCGGACAAGACGGTCGTACTCGTCACTCATCAAGTTGACTTTCTTTCCGCGTTCGATTCCGTTTTGGTGAGTTTAATGTCATGTAAATGTAATGATAAAACTTATTTACAAAAAAAATTAAAATAATGTTTTATCGAGCAGTTGATGTCCGATGGAGAGATTTTGCGTGCTGCTCCTTATCCGGAGCTGTTGGCCACTAGCAAAGAGTTTCAAGAACTTATTCACGCGCACGAAGAAACGGCTGGTTCGGAGAGGCTTTCGGGCGTGAACGAATTGTCTAAAAATGTTGACAAAATTTATCCGAAAGAGATTCGCGAGGAGAAGAAAGCCGTGGCGTGCGGAGGTGGTCAGTTGATAAAGAAAGAAGAGAGAGAAACCGGCGACATGGGATTGAAACCGTATATTCTGTATCTAAAGCAGAACAGAGGATTTTTAACATTTTCGATAGCTGCGCTTTGTCACTTGTCGTTTGTCATCGGTCAGATTATACAAAACTCGTGGATGGCTGCGAATGTCGACGATCAAGAATTTAGCAGATTGAGGCTGATTCTCGTCTACTTGTTGATCGGAGTTGTTTCGTCGCTGTTTTTGCTGAGTAGGACGATATTTTCCGTCGTTTTGGGATTGCAGTCGTCGAAAGCGTTGTTTTCGCAGCTCTTGGTTTCTTTGTTCCGTGCACCGATGTCGTTTTACGACTCTACGCCTTTGGGAAGAATACTGAGCAGGGTAAATTTTTTTTTTTTTTTTTTTACGATTTTGAATCATTTTTTTTTCTTAATGATTTGCATTGTATGATGGTTATTTTTATCGGCACAGGTATCTTCCGATTTGAGTATTGTTGACCTCGATGTGCCGTTCAACTTGATATTCACCGTTGGAGCAACAACAAATTGCTATGCTAATCTTGTTGTATTGGCTGTTATCACTTGGCAAGTTTTATTCGTCTCCGTACCGATGATCTTTCTGGCTGTTTACTTACAGGTAAACTCGCTTTCTTTCGTAACAACTAGGTGTGCAAATCAGGCCGATCAGATCGGAATTAGCACTTTCGGATAAAAAATCCAATTTCAGAAGTGAAAACTAATTCCAATTCCATTCAAAAAAGAAAATCTGAATTTCGATAATTGGAATGAAAAAACTTGTTCCAAAATTGGAAATTTTCGAATCTAGTATTCGGAATTTCCAATCTTTTAGTCACCTATAATATAGATACATAACAATATTAATATTATAAGTGTAATATCCGGGACTAAATTGTAATTTTCGGAATTATTTTCGAAAATTAAAATTGGATCGGAAAATCAGAATCTAACATGTATACCAATTCCGTCCTCAAAAAATTCAGAAAAAACGGTAATCGGAACTTTCGAAATTATGAACAAAAAACATTGTTCCAAAATCGGAAATATTCGGATCAGAATCGGTGGAATTCGGATATTTTGTTCCAATTTTATATATAAAGAGTTGTTATTGTTTCGTTCTTTATCGAGTACTTTCATTTATATTTTTGTCAGCCCCCCTAAAGAACTTTTAGTGTATATTTGGCCCCTTTTACTACAATCCTAATATACAAATACATCTGCAGAGGTACTACTACTCCTCTGCTAAAGAGTTGATGCGAATAAACGGAACAACAAAGTCCTTTGTGGCGAACCATCTTTCCGAATCGGTAGCCGGAGCAATCACCATAAGAGCTTTCAAAGAAGAGGACCGTTTTTTCGAAAAGAATCTTCTACTTATCGACAACAACGCAACTCCCTTTTTCCACTACTTTTCGGCAAACGAGTGGTTGATACAAAGACTCGAAACCCTCAGTGCAACCGTTCTTGCCGTTGCAGCTCTCTGCATGGTTTTACTTCCTCAAGGAACTTTTAGCTCCGGTACGTGCCGATATTAATTTTTTTTTTTTTTCATTTTTTTTCGTTGTTATTTATCTTATTATTACATTGTTGCAGGATTTATCGGGATGGCATTGTCATATGGCCTATCGTTGAACAATTCACTAGTGTTCTCGATTAACAACCAGTGCAACTTGTCGAATTATATCGTTTCCGTAGAAAGAATCGGCCAGTATATGAACATTCCAAGCGAAGCGCCTGAAGTGATAGATGATAATCGACCACCCGTCGACTGGCCTTCCGAGGGTAAAGTAGAGATTCAACACTTGGAGGTAATCTTTTTTTTTTTTTTTTTTTTACCTTGCATGAAAATTTTTTACGTAGTAAATAAAATAGTTTTAATATGAAACAGATTAGATATAGAAGAGATGCACCGCTTGTTCTACGAGGGATTAGTTGCACATTTGAAGGAGGACACAAAATCGGAATAGTTGGTCGAACCGGGAGCGGGAAAAGCACGCTTATCGGTGCCCTGTTTCGTCTTGTGGAACCTTCCGGAGGGAAAATTATTGTGGACGGGATTGACATTACGAAAATCGGGCTTCATGATTTGAGGTCCCGTTTCGGGATTATACCTCAAGACCCGACTCTCTTCACTGGTACCGTCAGATTCAATTTGGATCCATTGGCTCAACATACTGACAATGAAATATGGGAGGTATTAACTTCTTGGTGCTTTCACTTTTTTTCTTTTTTTATTACGGTAATCGGATCGGAAAATGTACATTCGGGATTGAAAAATCGAATCCAATTTCAATTTTGAAAATTTCGAAATTGAATTTCAGAAATTTTGTTACTTCTAAATTGTTCAGAAATTTCTCGATTTTTTTTGGAAATTCCTTTTTTGTTTTTTTTTTTTTTTTTTTTTTTTGTGGAATAGATATTATCTACTCCAATTTTGGAATTCTTTAATACATCTATATCATTTCTTTTCTTCATACAACTCCAATACTATATACTTAAAGAGTTTGTCAATTTATTTAAATATATTTAAAATACAAGTATGTAATAATATTGATATTATGAAACTAGTTTTTGATTGGAATCTTCAGAAATATTTTTGAAATTAAATTGGATCAGAATTCGGACTCTTCGATTATTCGATATATACCTTTGATTCCGATTTGAAAATTTCCGAAAATTGGACATCACAAAATTGAAATATTTGCATCGGAATCGGCAGAAGTCGGAAATTTCGTTCAAATTTTCCACCCCTAATCTCGTATAAAATGATGATAACATCCCTCTTGTTCTTTTTTGTCGAAACCTCAAAGGTTCTAGGCAAGTGCCAGCTCAAAGATACCGTTCACGAGAAAGAAGGGGGATTAGATTCGCCAGGTAAGCTTTCTAAACGAAAAATGTTCACACATATACGTATACGAAGATCATACATAAACGAACGAACATTATTACAGTTATGGAAGACGGATCGAACTGGAGCATGGGGCAGAGGCAACTCTTCTGCCTCGGGCGTGCTTTACTGAGGAGAAGCAAGATCTTGGTTCTCGACGAAGCTACCGCCTCCATCGACAATGCAACCGACACTATCTTACAGAGAACTATTCGGACCGAGTTTGCCGATTGTACTGTCATCACTGTGGCCCACAGAATACCAACTGTCATGGATTCTACTATGGTTTTAGCTATTAGTGATGGTGAGTTTTTTTTTTTAATTATCTGCAAGAAAATCGTAAGTGGTCGATGTTTGATTATACGATATTTTCTTGAAATAGGGAAAATGGTGGAGTATGATGAACCGATGGAGCTGATGAAGAGAGAAGATTCGTTGTTCGGGCAGCTTGTTAAGGAATACTGGTCTCATTCTTGATCTTAATTCGGAGTTAGAATTTAAGTTAGACTTGTAATCGATCTCTTCTGTGTATTTGCCACAATGTAGACGTTCGAGCGTTCCACGTTTTATTTGATGCTACACAAACTACGTGTAATTTGCACACAACACAGACAGTATACATGTATCTGTGTGTGGAATTGTGTGTAGATCTACAGTGTAAAGCCATAAAACTACCCGGCGTATTTTTTCGGAGTGTAGCGTCTAAAATAAAAGAGTTTTCTATCGTGAATTTTGATCGTAACTTTCAAGTAATCCCATGTGCATAGAACCTCTAATTCACGAGTTGAAATTCAAATCCTGTACCGAGTAATGTAAATAATGAGTAGTTCAATCGCCTTCTTCGAATTTTATTATTTAACTAAATTACTTGAAAATTCTAAAACAATTTTATATTTGTTGTAAAATGGCCATTAATACTTGCCACAAAAGAACTAGCACAAAAAATCCGAACAGAAAACAAAATTACACAATTCGAACGTCACTAAAAATACATTGAATAGTTCATATCTAGAAGACAAACTATACAAATTCATCGGTGGCTCATTAGATAATTCTCGAGCAAGCGGACAATGCCCTTTTTACCCTTTTTAGCCGGAGTCGATAGTTCTGTACAATAAATAAATGCCTAGTCGTCTGCTGCAAAATCCGTACAATTAGAGGCGCTTTGATATCTGTCGAGCACAACAGAATTCAGTTTTCAACAAGTGTCGTTTCGTGAAAATTCGATTTATACAATCCCGACGCTTATTACTACAGCTGGCTAAATAAATAAGAGTATATTTTCTTTGAAAGGCATCGCATGCTTCTATTTATAGCAGTTCGATCAAGGCTATTAAATGAAACTAATTAATCAAAATATCGATGAAATAATTAAACTTTACTCACAAGAAGAAGAAGAAGATAAAGTCATAACGAATCCTCGTTTTCCTATTCTTTTCCGAAACCTCTCGATGCAATTTTCACCAATTCAATCAAAGGTTTAATTAAAGCCCACTCTTCTTTTTCATGGTTTTTGACTTTTTTTTGCTAGATCGGTTTTTTCCATGCTTGAATGAAAATTCAGGCATCTCTTCATCTGGTTCGTTTTTCACGTGAACGGGGCTACAGCTTTCACTTTTTGATCTGAGAAACCGAAACAAAAAAAATAAAAAAAATTAGCCGTTGGATCAAAATGTTGGTGATATTTCAAAATCTCTCGTTTTTACTCGACGAACATTTTCGATGATGAGGGATTAAGCTGTTTTCTCGATGAACCTGCCTTTCTCTTTGTCATCTTTTTCTCATTCCTGCCAAAGTTCATAAATTCGAATCAGGACAATGCTACATTAAAGAAAATTTCGCAAGTTTGCATATAAATTTCCGTCGATTTTTACCCTTTTTTCCAGTTCATCACAGCTAAAAAAAATTACCAAAATCGACAAGATACAAAAAAATCGACCCAAAAAAATCAATTAAGGACGAAACTTACATAACAGTCTCTTTAACAGGAGATGGGATGTCGACTTCTTGATTCTGAATGGATTGAGTCTAAATTGTCACATATGCACAGAAAGGTTACACGAGAAAAGGCGAAAAATAGCAATTTTATGGGATTATAAGTATTTAACGAAGAGTCTCACTTGATGAAACTGCCTCTCGTTGAAAAGCTCCCATCTTTCTTCTTTCAGGTCCACTACTTCTTCCTCGTCGTCATCATATCTTATCTGCAATGTAATAAAGCCAACAAAAGCCAATCAAGAAAACATTATCTCACCTTATGCGTAATAAGTCAAATAGTATCATACAAAAAAAGTCAAATAGTATCATACAAAAAAGTAGAATGAGAGAAAAGACGAATCTTTTTCACCTTATGCTTCTTCGTCGAAGGATCAAAAGATTCAACGGTGCCCGTGTAGAACCTGTCGTATACAAAAAAAATCGATTAAAAAAAAACAAGGACAAATGATTGAATGAGTGATTGAAAATGTGACGACAAAATCGATTAATGTAAAGTACTTACGTTTTGTCCATTGGCCACCAAACCTTTATTCTTACGTTTACGATTTCCTCCCCGTAATCAGCATTCGACATCTGCATTTGAAGCATAAATTATTAGAGCTGTCATCTAAAAATATATTTTTAAATTTAATTCATACATATCCGACCGACGATACCTCTTCCTCTTCTAGAGCCAAATTCTCAGGGGACTCGTCTCTATCAGGAGATGCCACCATCTTGTCACATGATGAAAAAAAAAAATTAGAAATCGGAAAAATTAAAACGAAAAAAAAAAATATATCACAATTGTAGTTTGATTACCCTGTCTGCAAGGTCTATTAACTCGGGATTACGGGAAATAATCGCATCCCTGATTTCTTTCCACCTATCAGATTCTTGAAGTGACGACGACTTATCTTTTCCAACCGAAACAGTGCCTTCTCTCTTCTGTACAGTACTCGATCCTGCAATTACTCCTTCACTTTTCTTCTTGGTTCTTTTTGAACCTCTCTCCTTCGTCTCAGATTGCAAGATTTCCCTTTTGCCGAAACTTCCTTCGTCGACAGAATCAAATTCTCCATGTGAAGAAGAATCACTACGTAATTTTGTTTTTCTTTTCCGTTTATTATCACCGTCACGTGATAATGCTTTACGCGATTTGCTTTCTCCAATTGTCCAAATGTGTTCATAGCCTTCTTCGGGCTTCATCAAAGAGTTCGGTTTTCTTCCCCTTCGATGTTGATGAACAATTTCTGCTGGATCGTTCTCCGATCCTAATTCGTTGCTTTTAAGTTCCGTCGAATTCTCTTTATCCGTCGCATTTTCATTTCTATTTCCATCGTTCACGTGCGGAGTGGGGTCCACTACCCCATCACTCAAAAGCGCCGCAGCTGTCGTAATTTCTTCCGCCATCTGATTCACAATCGAAAAGATTATGAAAAATATGCTATACCACACAATGGAAATATTTTTTCCATGCATGCTATAGGATGATGTTTAATTCGTAAAACCAATTCTTGATTTTTTTCTCATTTGTAACATAAAATTTCACAGAAAAAAAAAAAAAAAAAAAAAAAAAAAATCGTGGAGGACAAACCATGTTCTTGTTAGATGTATCCTGGCATAACGAAACGACTATCTCAGCATAATCGTTAACTTCCACGTTCATTTTCTTCACAGCTTCTCTAATATAAGGCTGGAGTTTCATCGAACATTTTTCAATGACGCATTTTCCCAACTCCCATGGAACGTATGCAGTATTCTGAAGAAAAAAAGACGACATAAAAAAAATTATTACATCGCGTAAAAAAGTAACGAGAGATTTGTAAAAATCATTACCTTATTATCCATTCTCACACTGACCAACAGCGGCTTGAGAAGTTCGAAAGACACTTCACCACTCTCTTCTATCACCAATGTCATTATAGCTAACATGTTTTTGAAGATCGTAACCGGGTGACTCGGCCTTCAATAAAAAATTTAACGGAAATATTAATACGAGCATTACCAAAATAAATAAATAACATATATATATATATATATATATATATATATATATATATATATATAGATATAGATACATTAATTCCTTACCTAATCGAGTCGAAGAAAAATTGGAACATATCAACAATTAATTGATCAATATCCAAGTCCATCATAATCAGGACCGTTTTCATTTTCGCCATAGCTCCAAGAATTTGCACAGCTCTCGAAAAGTTGTCGCCGGTCCCACATGGCAACTGCCTAAGTGCAACGATGAACAATCGGAAGACATCCTGTCACGAGAAACCACGATATATTAATTTGTAAATCTGATTTAAAAGAGTGACGACGGTAATGAGTAATAACTGATAAGAATATACCTTCATTTGATTATCGGGATACGGTTGGACTGGAGCAGTTATTCTCGTAACCTGATTGAGGCACGACGCAACTATGAATTGGATATTTTCATGTGGATGGTTTACGAGCTCGTCTTTGACGAGAGCTGTCTTTGCCGGGAGAAGGGCGTTAGTTATAAACGTCGGAGGCTCTTGCCATACCCTCGTAAGAACTCGCTCTACCCTCTGTAAGAACAAACAAAACACGAGAGTTAATTATATTTACACTTAATTGGAAAAAAAGTAGAGAATTATATAGGTCAAGAATACAAATGACGTAAAGTGAGATCAAGGTTTACAATTCGACGGTTCGGTTACATCGGAGGCAATAAAGTACTTTAAGCATTTTCCTCGTTTATTGGTATCGTGGGAACAAAAAAGAATCCATACTGAAACGAAAAATCCACTCTTTTGAAGCAACAAAGTCACCAAAAAAAATTTGTTATGCACCCGAAAATCGACTAAAAGAAAATTGAATCTGGTTGTATTCGGCTGCCCCCACCACATTTTTTTGATTTTCAATTTACCAATACAACAAATACCAAATAAGAAATACAAATATTTTTAACTATTTGAGAGATCAAACACCTGTATGAATTCATCTCTAAAAACATAACCATGTGAATGAATGTGATCATAAAAAATCGAAACTCCACACACACTAAATAGGCATTTCACACACACACACACACACACACACGGGTTTATACCACAAGGTGGGCGATGAGTTCATGTGATCATTAAAAATCGAAACTCCACACACTAAATAGGAATTTCACACACACACACACACACACACACGCGGGTTTATACCACAAGGTGCGCGATAAGTTCATGTGATCATTAAAAATCGAAACTCCACACACTAAATAGGAATTTCACACACACACACACACACACACACACACACGCGCGGGTTTATACCACAAGGTGCGCGATGAGTTCATGTGATCATTAAAAATCGAACCTCCACACACTAAATAGGAATTTCACACACACACACACACACACACACACACACACACACACACACACACACCACACACACACACACACAAGCACAAAAGGAAAGGGGGGTTTATACCACAAGGTGGGCGATGAGTTCATGTGATCATAAAAATCAAAACTTCACACACACTAAATAGGCATTTACACACACACACACACAAACGCACAGAAACACACAGAAACACAAAAGGAAAGGAGGGTTTTTTATACCACAAGGTGGGCGATGAGTTCATCAATGGAAGAAGAGGAGCAAAGGCTACGAAGATTCATCCCAGAAACCAACAACTCATCTTCAATCTCTCTCCAAATAGCATCAAGATTAGCAGGAGCCGCCATTCTTTCGAGAATTCCACCACCTCTGAAAACCCTGTCGATAGAAAAAATGCAGTTCGATTTCAAAATAAATATAAGACAACAAAAAAAGAAAGCAACTTCGGGTACAGACAGACAGACAGCTAATGCTGATGCTGTATCAAACGGTGTAGTATTGCAAAATGACCTCCATGCACCACAACCCCCTCCTCTTAAACCACCACCTCCCGGATTTTGCCTCATTTATTTCACTTTTGCTAATTCTTGCTTTTCAAATCCGTCGAGGATTCTCAAAGATTGGATTTTTATTTTACCCTTTTTGCTAGAAAATCATATATGATTTAATGAGGGCTTGGAGGAAATCTAAATACTATAATCTAGGAAATTGCTACTATCAATTGACCGTTGTCTTGTTAGGGAGGAGGAATAAAATTACATTATTTTAATTTTAATAATCAAGTAATGGGGGTTTAGGAGAGTTTGTAAATGAAAGAATGTTGTGTTATATAGTATCACTTTCTTTTCCTTTTCTATTTCTTGAAAAAACTATAAAATCCATATGATGCACAAATTCAAGTGCACACTATAATTTTTGGAAGTTGTCGATACAAAGATTTAGTGCAGATTATTTACGTGAAGAGTAATTTGACTTTAATGGAGATTTATGGCGTTGTTATAAGAAAGTGGGACGATATCCATATGGATGCGTTGGTCGTTCAGTATTTGGCTCGTTGGGAAAATTTGTATGTAACATTGGATTGTGACGAAGACGTGGTGAATGTGATTGCGTTGCGTTTGATGAAGATGAGCGTGGTCGACATTGTCGTGAGCCGCAAAAATGAACCTAATTTGCGCGGAAAGATGGTATGCGCCGATGACTGGTAGATCTCCATTTTTGTATTGTTAGGTATTATGTGATACGTAGTATGGAATATGGAACATACTAGTCTCATACAAATATAATTATGGCATGGACGTATGGTACGTACAAAGAATAGTTGGGAGTACCAAAGAGAAAATCGTTTTATATGGAATATTCTCATTTTTGTAGTCGTTTTATCTCATTTGATCTCCACTTTTGAAGCAAGATGATCATAAGATGTGTTTTTTGCCTTGTATTTATCTGATTGTGGTGCATCAGAAACTGTATTTTTGCACAAAACGAGTACAAACTAGAGAACATTCCACGGAACCTAGATGATTATGTTGAACTTGACATCATAGGAGTGGAGGTGTAAGTATATTCATAGTTTAGAGGGGTAGATGTAATTATTCAAATATGAGGGTTTTTTATTGTAATATCACCATACATCAGAGGTGGTTGTAATTTACCCAAAAAATAATTCTACTATTACTAAAACATCTCGTTTTTTTTCGTTTTCGGTGTTTGAGTCTAAGCAACCCTAATTGCATATTTGTAATTGTTTTGTTAATCTAATTCTAGTAACTATGTGAAAATTTAATCTGTTATTGCCTCGTTTGGTTGGAAAGATTAGACATGATTAACTAAATAATTGAACTTTGATTGATATTTGGTATCCCCGATAATTTGTCAGGTCGACCAACAAATATTATGTTATCATGAGTTATTTTGCTTTTTAGAGAGTTTTTTTGTTGAACGTCTCAGGGTCCGATAAAATAATTGTGTTTTTATTACATTATTTAATCTTATTTTGACTAATCTTATCTTGACAACCAAACGAGATCTATAGCTACTAATTTCATTGGATACTAGCATTTGTTTACGAGTATGAGCTTTTAAATATGGCTAACTTGTTTTATCTTGAATATATTATGTCAGCCGCTTATAACTCCTATTATTTAGTCAATTTACGACTTAATAGTAACAAACGAACAAGAGTCTAACAATGAACTTTTCAAAAAAAAAAAAGAAGTCGAACAATGAACATTTTCATTTATAACGGTTCCAAAATCATCAAAATAATAGTAAAAAAGAAATGGGTATACAAATATGGTAGAAAAAAATTAAGCAATCCAATTTGCAATCATCTATTACAATTTATGTTCATAAGTTTTTTGGGCTATTTTTTTAATGACTGTTTCCCAATTCATACTATACACAAATTAAATTCAATAGCAATTAAACTTATGCAGCTATTTTAAAAACAAAAATCAAGAAAAGAAAACTCAGGATTCTTTTCATTATGACGTAATCCACCCACATCTTCACTATAAATTATTCAGCCTTCCTCTTCTTCTTCTTCGTCTAAAACACAAGCAAAAAAGATAAATACAAGAATTATTTAATTAGGCTATATAATTAACATAAATGGCGAACGTAGCCCAAAAAGCATGCGCTGCATGCAAGCACCAACGCAGAAAATGCGATCAAAACTGCGTACTCGCCAAGTATTTCCCGGCGGAAAAATCCGACGATTTTGAAAATGTGTACCATCTTTTCGGGATGCAAAACACGTTGAAAATACTAAAATCGGTGGAGGAAGAAGAAGGGGACGCAACGATTGAGAGCCTTATTATGGAGGCGGAAATGAGATTAGAACATCCCGTCCACGGCCACTTTTCGGTCACGAGAAAGCTTAGTATCGAGATTGAAAAAACGGAGACGGAGCTTGAGTTTGTCCGCAAACAAATCCAGCTCTGTAAAGGAGTGGATAATCGGCCCGGCCCGTCGACCCGTGAAGGGCGGCCCGATCAACTGTGAATATGTTTTGGAAATTATATATATAAAATTTTATATTAGACCTAGGCTGGTCGAACGTGTATTTATAGTGCGTAGGACGATTATGTATTTGATACATTTTTGTAATTGAAAATCTCCGGCCGAGATATTTACATTAAATCGACTTACGTCACGTGTATAATTAATTGAAGGGTTTTTGCCTTTTTAATGTAATCCGATCGATTAATTCTTATTTATTTTTCCGTGGTTGACGTGTTCGTTTATTCGTTATCCGTTATTTTTCGATGAAAGGAATTGCTATGTTTGTTTTTTCTTTACATTCTTTTACACCTAAATCAAGATTGTATTATGTTACTAGTATATAAATATTGTGAATTTATTCGACGAAATATAATATATAATGGTAAAGTTTTGTTTTTAAAAATTATTTGGATATTTTAATTCTTCGTCCGGCTTAGTGAAAATATAGTTTTCTTTTCTAGTAATCTTATTTTTTATTTTATATTGCTTTTAAATATTGCTCGTACATAATTAATTAATTAATTATTATTTTTTCTTGAATAATTCAAGTAATTACAAGGGGAATTAATTAATTTATTTACTTATTGAGAAATGTACATAATTTAGTTGATGCATATGCTAAGGAAGAACGAATGAGTCCAACTGAGCAACTATTTTGTAACAAGTTATTGGGCCATAGAAATGTCATTGGCCAAATAATGTTAATGACGTCATACTCTCTAAATTAACATGCTACAAACATTTAATAAAATGAAATGTTTTTTTACGGTTGAAAATTGTTATTTATGGTTTATAACAAAAAAATACTTTATCGCTCTAAAACCCCAAAATTTCAAAAAAATCCAAAAACCCTCCAAACTGCAAATAGTAAAAAAAAAAAAATCGAAAATTCGAAATCAAGCTTGAAGAAGGGTTGGGCTTCGATTTTTTGAGGTAATTTCGACTCTTTTATGTGGAATATGCATTGGGTAGGTCGATTACGGGACCAATTTCATGTTAAAAGCCCTACAAATCGATTTGTAGGGCTTTTTTTTTGCAAAAACATGTTGGAACGCCCAAGATTGGGCGTTCAATTAAAAAAAAAACAAAAAAAAATTGCACTGGACACCCAACTCGGGCGCCCAAATGCAGCTTGCACGCCCAACTTGGGTGTGCACTGCATGAATGGGCGCCCAAGTTGGGCTTTTACGCGTTTTGGGGGTTTTTGGATTTTTTTGGGAAGTTTTGGGGTTTTAGAGAGATAAAGTGTTTTTTTGTTATAAACCGTTAATAGCAGTTTTCAAACAGTAAAAAACAAGTCCCTAGATAAATCATAAAAAATCCTAAATCGTTGACTAATTGTCGAGGAGTTATATGTTACACCTGGTTGTTTACACCAAATGGATTTGAGTCATAAATTTGATTAAATAACTATCCACTAGGCACACACATGCACATGAGTGTGTGCGTATGTATTTATATGTAGATTTACAACACACATACACATGAGTGTGTGTGTATGTATTTATGTGTAGATTTACAGTTTAAATTCAACTAATATAATAACCAAAATAGTGCTAGTCCCAAAATAGTTCTGCAAAGCTAGCAAGGTGGAAAACCATCAAATGTAAGCAATGTCAAAGAATACCTTATAGTATATAGATAGATACATATGGATGTGTGTGTGTGTCGATGAACGACTAACGAATTCGTAATTCACCGACGAAATAACAGAACCATATTCTACGCATTACGTGTGTAAATTGGCCAGGAAATAAAGTCTATATACATAGAAATATCGCACATCATGGTAGAAAGAACTAAAATTCAAGATTCATACGAAGGGGAAAAAAAACTTCCGATTAAGAAAAATAACTTTTTATTAACATTTAGTTTGTGTGTATCAAACAACCACGCACGAATCGAAATTCAAAACAAAGTTTGCTCTTTGATGTATAGTTTTTTACCATTAATTTGTTGCATCTTCGGAGGTTTCAAAGGCTAAATAAGGCTCCCTCTTCTTTTTAGTGGTTTTCGGCCTTTTCTTGCCAGCTCAGCTATTGCCATGCTTGAACGAGAATCCGGGCATCACTTCATCTTCTTCATATTGTCCTTTATTCAGACGAACAGGGGCTACAGCATTCACTTTTTGATCTGAGAAACCAAGAAAAATTAGCCGTTCGATCAAAAAGTTGCCGAGCTTTCGAAATTCTCTCACTTCAAACGGAAACAACTATTTCTTTAAGTTTATAAATCCGAGGAAGAAAAAAACGCCATATATGAACAGAAAGCTAAAACGATTTTTTTAATAGCTAATATGGGATTAAACAAGTATTTCAGCGAAGAATCTCACTTGTCGAGGCTGCTTTTCGTGAAACAGTTCCCATCTCTCCTCTCTCAGGTTCAAGATTTCTTCTTCATCGTCGTCGTATTTAATCTGCAATAAAGTCAACAAGTCAGTCAAACAGAGAAACATTATCACCTTAAGCTTAATAAGTAAAATAGTAATCATCATACATAAAATACACGAAAGTATAATGCAAGAAAAGGACGAATCTTTTTCACCATATGTTTCTTTGTCAAAGGATCAAAAGCTTCAACAGTGCCAGTGTAGAACCTGTCGTATACAGAAAAACTCGAACATGAAAAAACAAGGAAAAATGATTGAACGAGTGATAGAAAATGTGACGACAAAATAGATTAATGTAAAGTAGTTACGTTTTGTCGATTGGCCACCAAACCTTTATCCTTACATTCACCATTTCGTCCCCATAATCACAGTTAGACCCTCTTGACATCTGGATATGAAACAAGTATTTCGAGATAATTATTACAGCTGGCATCTAAAAATATATTTTACAATTTACATCACATATTACGACGAAATATTAGACATAGTAGATTCCACCACCTTGTCACAAGATTTTTTTTTGTTTGTTTTTGTTTTTAAATTAAAGTGAAAGAATCATTAAAGGCGCAAAAAATCCATAAAACAAAATCCGAGTTATAGTTTGATTACCTTGTGTGCAACAACATCTCTCGACTCGTGATTCGTCGTCTTTCTATCCCGATCTTTAGTTGTCCAAATATGTACATAGCCTTCTTCAGGCCTCATCAAAGAGTTAGGCCTTCGTCTTCGTCTTTTTGTCACTGTATGCAATGAATTATCATCATTTGATATACTATTGTTTCCATTTCCATCCTTCACTTGAGGCAGAGTGGGACCCACTCGCTCGACCTCAAAAGATCCGTTTAATTTGGATATTCCATCACCACAAAGAGCTGCAGCAGCTGTTGCTAATTCTTCTGCCACCTTATTCACAATAGGAAAATATTACGAAAAATACGAACACGTTTGTATAAAAAATTAGACGCTAAGGCATGCTAATTAATGACTAACTTCGATTAGGTAAAAGGCAATATAAGGTTGTCCGCAAGTCCTTTGCTAATCGATGTGGGACGGGATACAGTCTAACCCAAATCGAAACACATACTAACATGTCTTGAAATAGTTTCATTTCGTATTGTTCGTAATATTTTTGCATGCGTTAAGAAAATATGCTCTACCCTCGAAAAAGAGAAGACGAGAAAAGATGCGCATCTAAAGTTTAGCATGTTTGATCGAAAACAAAACAATCGTCTTTCCGTACGAAAGTAAAGCTCCATGAATGGATTATGATTGTACTAGCTTCTTTTGTCATCACATACGAATTTGGAGACCGATGCAACTAATACGTACGAAATATATATATATACATATACATATATATGTATATATATATATATTCACAGCTACAAATAAGAATTGGGAATTTGTAATCCCGTAGTAGGAACGAATCCGTCAACGTTCAATGAGTTTGTTATTATTCAAATTGAAATCTTTAGCTTCAAATAGTACCATCCGAATGCAATATAACCATTTGTCTTTTTTGTCGTATTTTTACCTAAATACATTCCACGTTTTCCACGTGTAATTCACAAACAGGTTTGGTACGATAGTTCATCGGAGAGACTCTACACAAATTCAAAACCATAATGATTTGTGTCGACTGCGGTCGGAAAAAGATTAAAACGACAATTTTTAATCCCATAATCATTCTCCAGTTATCATAACATACAAAAGAAAGAAAAAAAAATCACGAAGGAGGACAAACCATGTTCGCGTCGCATAAAGAAACGACAATTTCAGCATAGTCGTTAATTTCCAGCTTCATTTTCTTCACAGCTTCTCTAATACAAGGCTGGAGTTTCGTCGAACATTTCTCAATTACAATCTTTCCCAACTCCCACGAAACAGGTGAAGTATTCTGAAGAAACAAGACAACATTAAATATAGTATACGGCAATAAACGAAAAAAAAAAAGACGTAATATTTTCATTGCATAATCATTACCTTATTATCTATTCGGACACTATCTAAAAGGGGTTTGAGAAGTTCGACAGAGACCTCGACACTCTGTTCTATCACCAAAATCATGATAGCTTCCATGTATTTGAATACCGTAAAGGGGTGGTTCGGCCTTCCATAAAATTAATTAACGAAGCAATTAATCGGAGTATTCCCAAAAAAAGAAAAAAAAAATATCATATTCTTGCAGAAACTTACCTAATGGTATCGAAAAAAACTCGAAACATGTCAACAATGATTGGATCAATATCCAAGTCCATCATTACAAGGCATGTTTGGATTCTTGCCATAGCTGCAAGAATATTTACAGCTCTATCATAGTCGTCACCCGTCAAACGCGACAACTGCCTAAGTACGACCATGAATAATCGGAAAATATCCTGTCGTAAAAAAACCCCCAACAACGTATAAGTTCGTAAATCTAATTTCAAAAGAGTGATGACGTCATGATGACGATGATAAGAAAGAATATACCTTCATTTGATTATCGGGATAAGATTGAAGTGGAGCAGTTATTCTCGTAACCTGATTAAGGCAAGAAGCAACTATGAATTGGATATTTAGATGCGGGTGCTTCAATAGCTCGTTTTTTATGAGTGCTGACATGGCTGGGTGAAGGGCCTTCTCTATAAACGCAGGCGGCTTTTGCTCTACCCTCGTTAGAACTCGCTCTACCCTCTGACAGAATTACATGAAACAATAAAGAAATTCGATATTTAAAAGGAAGATTCCACCCTTATCGAATAACAAGCAGTTTGATATCCAACACAATTTTTCTGTTATACGAAAGGAAAGACGTATTCGAATTAGACGAAAAATTGAATCTGGTTCTATCTGGCTGCATCTATCATTACATCTTAAAATTGTAAGCAGTCAATTCTGATATGAATGACTAAGCCAATCAGATGTTTATCAATACACCAAAAGAGAGATGTTGATCTTCAGAAAGATACAAACTTGATACAAATCGAAACTTCACACACACTAAACAGCAATTTGCAGAAACAATTCTGTGCATAGCAATTTATGATTTTAAACATGTGAAACACACACACACAAAAAAAAAAAAAAACACACACACACACACACACAGACCCGCACGTGTGTGTGAGAGAGAGAGACCAGAAAAAGGAAAGGGGGTTTATATACCATACCAGAAGGCGGACGAGGAGTTCATCAATGGAGTGAGAGGAACGAAGCCTGAGAAGATTCATCCCTGCAACTATCAACTCATCTTCAATCTCTCTCCATACACCATCATCAACATCAGCAGCAGCACCATCCATTTTTCTTCTAGAACAAAGATTTATTCTCTCTCTCCAAAATCTAGAAAAAAATGCACTTTGATTTCAAATGTATACAAGAAAACACAAAAAAGCAACTCCGGAGACAATGCTGATGATGATGTAATAAAAGTGGGTTCATTACTTCATTTGCAAGATCTTCTGCATGCACAGCACAACCCTTTCTTGAACCACCACCACCACCACCACCACCCGGATTTTGCCTCATTTTATGAATTCTTGCTAATTCTTGTATTTCAAATCCGTGAATTCTCAAAGATCAGATTTTTTTCCCTTTTTGCTTGAAAATCATAGGTATGTAGGTTAATGAGGGAATTCTGAACAGTGAACACTGTAATGTTAGAAATTGCTGCTATCTATTGACCGTTGACCTGTCAGGAGACTAAAATTACATTATTTGTGAATCAAGAATGTCTATGTGGTGTATATATATATATATATATATATATATATTATCAATGGTGCTTTTGGCCATTGTTATCTTGTCTGAATCTTGTAGGAATTGAAGCACTAATTAATTAAATTAAAATCTTGTATATATTCTGTTAGAATTTTTTCTTCAAAAGTTTAAAAAATTGGAAGCTAATAGTCCAAATCATATTTTAAAAATTATATTTATATAAATAGAAATTAAAATAATAATACGAAAAAAGAAACTCCAACAAATGATAAAAAGAACACAAAAGGAGAAACTCAAGAAGCAAACAAGATATAACTTATAAGTTTCATTTGATGTAAGAACTACAAAATTCTCATAAAAGTGTACAAAAAGTGTGGCATCTAACCAAGCCATGCACAATACATCTAATTCAATCAAAACACTTAGAACACAATTCACATTCTTTCGGTTTTTTCAATTTTTTATTTTTCATTCTTTCTTTCACATCATATCTCCATCCCTGTAAGCTATGTATATCCATTCTCAACGCCTAAACCATACAGCACACCAGAATATCTATCCATCGAACCGCTAAAGAAATTCTCCTTGAGTTTTCTAAAGGTACAAGAAGTGAGCAAACTATCCGAACCTGCCTGATGGCAAATCCCGACTCTCTCGACATCCAACAGCTCCGCCAGCTTGTTCAACCCCCCATGGAGGCTGTTCGAGAACTTCATCAAATGCTTAATATCATAAAGCACCGGAAAGTACAGATTGATCAAGTTGAAAAATGCAGTCTGGGTATCTGGCAAGTTCTGGCAAGTCAACACCTTTAGCAAATACCCGAAATCGTAACCGCTGTGAAACGTTACCCAAACGACGTTATCGTTCAGGACAATCCCGGATGACATCAGCAGCTCCCCAAATCTCCTGGCATCAATGCCATTATCCTTATTTTTCGCAAAGTCAATGCCACTCTGGCGGAGCAGTTCGATGGAGTCATTGGCAAAGACGTCCTCGTTTAGGTTGAACTCGCGGAAATTGAACTGCCATATGCAGTACTTGTCGGTCCCACAAGTGGGGAGATTGCCCTTTTCGTCCGAGAATGTTAGGCCCAATTGGATGAGCTTCAACAGATCGACGTTGTCTTTTAAGGTTTGGTAATGGTAATCGCTCGAGTTCTTGAAAGTGCCCACTGGGCGGAGAACCACACCTGGGAACTCGGTGTCCATTGCTATGTAAGGGTACGCATCGACAATTTCGCGAATCAATTCAAACTCTTCCTCCAAATTGTCCGCCCAAACATCCCGGATTTGAATCGAATCGCTCTTGGGCAAAAGTGACATCTCCTCAAAAATTCAAATTTTGAACTTTAGGAGAGGCCTTAAAGCAGATCTGTCAATATTCAAAAACCTTGCAGTTTTCAAACTAAAACCTGCACAGAAATTCCAGAAAATGCGCAATCAGCCCCAAAATCCAAATCATCAAATAAAACCCTAGATGAGTAATTTGGGCAAATCAATTGACTCCATAAATTTTCATTCCTGCCCATTCAAAATCAGATCTTTTATAGGGTCCTCAAAATAGATCTAACAAAAAATCCATTTTTTCATAACGCCAAAAAAAAATTCCCAGATTTGACAGATCAAAACCGACCCAACAAAACCATTAGAAATCTACACAATTGAAGAGCCCAAGATCAGATCTTTCAAATCGGCTGAAAATTTTCGAGAAATGCGTAACCCTAACCCTAATCAGAAAATAAATCAAAATCGCCAATTCGCGACGGAAACTTACCTCGAAACATATGAAACGATCCCCCGACGATTAAATGTCAAGATCTAGCAGCAGATCGAACATCTACGCACGTATATCCGCATAAATTATATATGTATATGGGTCAATTAAGAAGGGGGTGTTAGGGTTTGAACAGCAGGAAAAACGATAACGAGTGTAAGGCGGCGACGGGAGGAGCAAATGATGATGGGCAAAACAATGATTATAAAATTCTTTTCTTTTTTCCTTTTTTTTTGAATATTTTTTTATATGAAAGATTATAATAAAGATAAAGACAGAAGATGAACAGAGATGATGGGCCCCACCTCCTCCTCCTCTGTTCACCTTGGAATGAAAATGAAATGCAATCTCCTTATTTTATACTGGAAGTTGTGGTTTTGAAATTTTTTCTTTGGTATTTGTAGACAAAAATTAATTGATCCTTTAATTTTGGAAAAATAAAATAATTGGAATATATATATATATATATATATATATATATATATATATATATATGTGTGTGTGTATGGTAAAAATTTAATTGATAAATGAATCTTCAGACCGTTAGATGCCGCACTCTCCTACTTTTCTGCGAAAGACATCTTTACAGCTACTATGTATGAATTTATACATTGTATGATATAATATAACTCGATAAAATTGATTTGGTGTAATAAACAATAGTGAGATATGCTTCAAAAAAAAATTTTGAAAAATAAAATTATATTTAAAATATTATATGACAATGTATTTAAGAGGAAATTAATTATTTTTCTTGAACTTTAAAAGTAATTTAATTCTCTAGATTTGTTTATTGGGGAGTTTGTGGTAGGGGCCAAAGTGTGTGTATTTTTATTTTATTTTTAAATAAAGTTGTGTATTGATTGGGGAGAGGTTTGATAGTTGTGTGTAGACATGGCCCCGGGTCGGGTCGGGTCCGGTTCCGGGTCGGACCCGCCGGGTCCGGGTCCGAGTTTTGGAGGACCCGAAACCGACCCGCGGGAAGGCGGGTCCGGGTCCGGGCCGGGTCCACTCGGGTCCACCCGGTTCCGGGTCGGTTCCGGGCCGGGTCCGGGTCCGGACCGGATTTTTAAATTTTGTCCAAAATTGTTATGGATGGAATTCGAACCCGGGTCACAAGACACTTGAAAAGAATTCCAAACCACTTAGACAAGATAAATATTTGTGAAATTACTTGCAAGAAATATACATAAACATAAACAAAACAGTATGAAATGATTAAATAATGTTAAATGCATTGTTAATTTTCATATTCATAATTATTAAACCATTTTAATTACATTATTAACAAATATAATATCAAAATTAAAAGGACTTTAGATTAATCCATTTAAATCTTACGATTCGATTCTAATATTTGAATAAAATGTATATGTAAAAAAACGATTAAATCATATGGTCTACAATTTAATTCCTACGATTTTTACAAATTAAATCAATTATTAAAAGAGAAATTACATCATAATATTTTGATTATACTAGTCATATATAATGTTATTTTTAAAGTAAGAATATTAATTGAAATGGGATATAATCTATTTTTGTTAAAATAAACACCATTTATATAAATAATTATCTTATGATAAAATACTCAATAATATTAATAAGTTATTGTCAACAATTGAGGTTAATCGACTTAAATTAATTGAAATGGGTTATAATTTGTTTTTTAAAATAAACATATTATTTTATTTTTCATTCGATTTTTTCGCACTATCGATTTTAATAACATAAGTCAATTTTTAATAAGTCAACGCATTTGTTTATATATTGAATTGATTCAATACTTTATATTTTTCAACAGTGGAGCTTATATTGATATATTAATTAATAATAGATGTTTTGAAGTATTGAATTGTGATTATATATATTTTTCTTATATTGCATTTGTTAATTATTTAATTAAAATTATTTAATAATAATTAATATGAAAATTAATATATTTATCATTTACGCCATAGGTTTATATTATATACATTTGTTGTCTATATATAATCAAACATATTGGTTGGCCTGGTGGTTAGTGTTCAGTGAATCAGTCGGGCTACCCGGGTTCGATCCCCAGTCGGTGCATTTTTGGTGATTATTTCATTAAAAATCCGGGTGGACCCGACGGGTCCTCGGGCCGGGCCCTCGGGTCCGGTTCTTCGGGTCCACCCGCCGGGTAGACCCGGCGGGTCTCGGGTCCAAGAAGTTGGGACCCGAAACCGACCCTTACTTGGCCGGGTCCGGGTCCGGGTCCATTGTCAACGGGCCGGGTCCGGGGCGGGGCGGGTCAGTCAACGGGTCGGGTCCGGGTCAGACCCGACCCGTGGCCATGTCTAGTTGTGTGTGGGGTGGTGTGGTGTGAGCTGTGAATAGCTTTTGTTTCTCAATTTAAATTTGAATTTAGGGTAAAACACAACCGCCCTTGAAGTATGGTCAAATTACGAAAACCCACCTCTTGTTTGGATAATTACAACCATCCCCCTCAACTCTTCAATTTTAGTGGAATCTTCGAGATTATATGGAATATTATCACTTTTGTACCGTTTCATCCCATTCGAACTCTACATTTTGAATCAAGATGATCATAATATGTGTTTTTTGGCTTGTATATATCAGATTATAGTGCATCATAAACTGTATTTTTACACAAAACGAGTACAACCTAGAGCACATTCCACGAAATCTAGATGATTATATTGAATTTGAAACCATAAGGGTGGAGATGTAAGAAAAAATCATAGTTGAGGGGTAGATGTAATTATCCAAACAAGAGGGTTTTTTTTTTGTAAATTGATCATACCTCAGGGGGTGTTTATAATTTACCCTTGAATTTGAGATTGTTAATAAAGAGGTTAAGGGGTGAAATAAGACATGAATTTAAGGTGTAGGACCTATGATGTAATTATTTGACAAAATTATTTGATGGTACTAAGTTCTTAACCCTATGATTATGATTTGGATTAATTAGGGTCTTCAAATTAATTTCAAATAGCATCATTGAAGAATTAAATAACACAAACCACAACCGATTTTGTATTTGAACCCATATCATTTTCATTTTATGTCGATTTAGTGGGTCCAACCAGTTCGAACCATCAAACTCATTATCGTTAAGTCGTTAACATACAACTGAAACTAATAAACCCTAGTTGGTGCATTTTTCCCCATTTCTTTAAATATTTTTTGCTTAATTCCACGTTGCACCTTTAAAATGTAGCATTTTGGCACTTTTTGCACCCTTAAAAACAAGTAATAGCATTTTATACCGTCGAAACACAATAAATTATTAAAAAATGCCCCATGATTTGATTTTTTACTACTTAATGAAGACAACTGCATTTTTATTGGTGTATTTATTTCAAGGTGCAAACTAGCAAATTAGATTTTAGTTTCTGATATCCTCCAACAAAACGCGGAGAAAAAAAAAAAACTATACCGAGTTACTTCATGTCTATATATTAAAGAAAAAGTATTTTTATTTATATATATTATTCAATTTGTGGATTTTTAATTGTAATTGGTTAAAATATTTAGTAGGAATATTTATAAGAGAATATAATTTTCAAATAAGTTGATAATAAAATAGCTTATGGAAATTTATTTTGACAAAAAGTTTGTGATAATTTTTTTTTTAAATATGTTGATTTGATGTATTTTTATATTTGTACTTTGTAGTTTCGAAATTGGCTTGGAGGATTAATGAATATAAAAAAAGATGATTTGATATTTGACATCCTGAAACAAATACCACGTATAATATTAACTTTACCTTCATCAGTTTGAAAAATTATTCCAGTTCATTTTGTATAATTTATAGTGTATTGAAGGTACATAATGCAATTAAATTTTCTTGAAGGTGCAAAGTGTCAAATGGTATATTTCAAGAATGTAATGTGGAATTAAGCCAATAATTTTAGATAAAGGACTTCGAAAAATGGCCAATAATAATATTAGCCAATATTGGTAAAAAAAACATAAATCCAGTTAACATAGCATCTAAAAAATCTTATTCAAGACCCTCGATATAATTCGAAATTGTAGAATGAGAGAAAAATAAAAGTTGTAAAAGGGTTAGAGACATTTAGGCTGTGTTTGATAAAATTAAGCATTGAATATTAAATACTAAATTAATATCTGAATAGTTAAGAGCATTATGTGAGCTCTGAATGTTGAATAGTTAAGGCTGTTTGATTATTATATATTTGAATGATACGATATTACTATATTAACTCTATAAATAAATCTATTTACTAGTTGAATTATTAATAACATCTTAAAAATATTGATTTATATACAAATAAAATCATAACAAAAAATGTGGAGTCGAAGAGCACCATAACTTTTTTTTCTTTACCATAAAACAATTTAACTAAAATCAAAGATTTTTTTCTTTCTCATCTCACATCTCATTTTCTAGATTTGTGTGTATAATAATAATGTGGAGTAGAAGATTCCAAATGGTTACCCTAAAAGAAAAAAAAATGATTTGTTCCGAAAAAAAAAAAAAGAAAGAAATAAAATGAAATAGATGGTGACAGTATGTACAACAAGCACCACCTCAACTTTTTCTAGGATAAGTTTGTTCAAAATTTATTCAGTGCTTAATAAAATATATGAAGGAATAAGACATTAGTCCTTATTCAGAGCATCGTTAAGTTGTAACAAACATAGCCTTATTTAATATGGGTCCTATCACTAAAATTATTTGGCAATGGCCACTATTTATATCAAATCATATAATAGTTACATGTATACGTCGATTTTATTTGAAAAAAAAATATTTATATATATATATATATATATATATATATATATATATAATTGATTTTGTCACTACGAAATATGGATTTATATTATATTATATTTCTTATTGTATTTGTCATTATATGACAACATGCATCATATACCTGCTATATTGAGCCGACCCAATGGGCTCCCAATTTATCTAATAATTGGGTCAAATACACGAAAGCCCAAACACCTTCAAAATAAAGCTTGAGCTCAACAAAGTAAACTCAATCCAATCAACACATATAAATAGAGGTTTTTACTCATTTGTTAAGGTACGTTATATTATTCACAAGTATTTTAGAGTGCATATTCTCTCTACCATCTACACGATCCGTACATCTGACTTAAAGCGTCGGAGGGGTTTTCGCCGGATCAACCCCCGGCTTAGTTCACGTGTGTTTATTTCGCAGGGACCTCAGGATCAATAAGTTGTCAAGCTACTGATCCGATCCGCTTTGCTCTTCCAGCTCATTTTGTACACTACCCCAGGTGATCTAAGTAATTAGCATCATTAATGCACTTCAACAAGAAAAGAAAGAAATTATAAATTGCAACAGACGATCCAGAATTGAGAACATTTGTTTAAAAGAAGGAAAAAAATTGAAATACAGAATAAAAAATGATGTGTGCTTAAATAGTTTGAAGGGGTAAACATGCATTAAATATTTAATTGAGGGGGCAAAGGGAAAATAACTCTTCAGTTGTAGCCTGTCGTTTACTAGGGTTCTGTTACCCCCTTAGTCGGTGATATCGGTACTGACTCGAGTGTGGCCGAGTCATGGCTGAGAAATGGTGCCAAGTGAGGATTGGCACAAGACAACCACACAATTGGCCAATGAGTGATCGAGTGTTGGGCAAGCATTTGGGGTGTTTGTCCGAGAAAGCAAGGATCGGCTTGATTCAAGTGGGAACGGTGATCGAAAGTACTTATGGCTGGCACGGGCGTTGCTCGCCAGCGAATGCGGACAAGCGTGGGCAGTAATCGGCATGTGGTCGAGAACTTGGGCAAACGAACGTTTGAAGGAAATCGACCACGACTTGACAAGTGTGGGCAAGTTGGCACGTTTGATTGGCAAGTCAAGGAAGGCAGCCATATGTGCGGGCGTGCTAATAACCGTGTGAGCAAAGAACTAGCAAGTGATTGGCAAGGCAAGTGAAACGTGCTGAAAAGGCAAGGCAGATGGGCTGCCTAGCAATCGGTCGGGCTGTTTTGGGCGCGCGCGCGCGCCCCCGATCAAGATTGGCCTCGAAAACCAGCCTTGTGGGCGGTTTTGAGGGAAGTTGCGGAGCGGTTGAGGCCTGACAAACATGAAAGAAATGAACTAATAAACATTGATACCAACAAAATATACAAATTAATTAAAAATAAGCATATTTATGTTATTAAAATTAATGTTTTGTTAATAATAACAAATGTATTTATATTTTAAAAACTAATTTAATAATTAATACTAATGTATTTACGATAAATATGCTAATAAGTTGGTAATCGAGTGCAATTAGTTAAAATCGTCATTTTATATGGTACTTAATAAAATTGTGTTAATTACGGCAAATCTTATTATCACCTTTATATTTAGTATGAAAAATAGGATTTAGTGGAAAAAATAGGTAAATGGTGGACAGTTGGAGATGAAAATTTCTTCACCAAAATCTACCGTTCTCTTACTATAAATTCAAATACAGGGAAAAAAAATTAATATATTGTCGCATGAAAATAATAATCATTACGGAAATGATTTAATCGAAATTAGAACCCTTTATTTTGATATTAATGAAAAAATAAAAATAAAGAAGTAGAGCTTGATGGATTCTTATTTTACTCTCTCTCTCACACACAAAAACACACACACACACACAGAGAGAGAGAAAGCAGATATTCAACAATAATTCAAACATGAAAGAGGAGCTTCTCAAAAAGACGCATATGCTCTTTCGCCAGCGATATCGATACCAGCAAGCTTCCGTCACTCGCCGGGCTCGGCAATAAATGGCATTTCCCTTCCGGGGGCGCCGCCGCAAGTCCTACGTGGACGGGATTGCCCCACCCGTAATCAGCTTCGTACACCGGCAGCCTCAGCCAGCTTATTATTCCAAGATTCGGTGAATTGTATGTTCCAGGCCCACGCGCTATGGCGCTTATGTCGGGCTGCACCTCCAGGTAATCTATCGCCGATCTCAGGTACTCGTCGTCCATCCTTGCTATGGCTTCCCTTGTCTTCCCGGCGGCGAAACAGACGTTGTTCGACCGGAGCTGCCCGCACAGGGACACCGCCGTGGCCGAGAAGTTCACGTTGCCGAAATACCCCGGCGGCAGCGGCGGCGATAGCCTCGACCGCCCGTCCGTCGACACGTACAGCTTCGTCTCCTGATCCCCGGGCAGGCCCCGTGCCTCCGAGACGCACCGCCACACGTGGCCGGCGAGAACCTCGAATGTCGTGTAACGGGCCGCCGGGAACGGCCCATTTCCGCCGTCGACGTTGCATTTGGCTTTCAGGGCGTTGATCTGGTCCGACGTCAGCTTGAACACAGAATACGTTTTTTCGGAAGCTAAGAGGGGCTGCAGGTTGCCGCCGCGGTGGTACTCGATGTGGGTGAACCGGGGCTGCGGTGGGTCACGCGCGCGCAAAAGTGTCCGGTCCATGAACGGCGGTGCGTCGGCGGCGGTGGTGACGGTGGCGGTGGAGGTGGCGAGGCTCCTGGCTAAGTCGAACCATGTTTTGGTAAAACGGAGAGCAGCCGGACCATCTGATAAGTGGTGCTGGTTTCCATGCCCCAAACACACTCCTCCACATTTGAAACGGGTCAGCTGCATTTATCCAATTAATTAATATATAAATTAAAGTTAATTAACAACACATAAAGGTAGTTAGTTATACACAAAGGTACATATTAGACCTGATTATTTATACCCATATAAATATGATATATTAAATAATTAGCTACAGTTCAAATTCACCCAATATAAATAACCAGATGTAATATCTAATCTGCACCCACCTGTATCAACAGAAGAGGATACGTGGATATTCCGAGGGAATAATCGACGGCCGGGTTGAGGCTTAGGTCCGGGCGGGGGGCGAAGCCCCCCAAATCGTCAATCTCGCCATCGCACTCCGCCTCCACGAACAGGACCCCCTCGCCATTGCAGTTAATTGAGATGCGGCCTTCTTCGTCTCTAGTCAGCCTCCCAGCCACAGGGTAGTACTCCACCAGGACGCGGCTGAGCGCCGCCATAAGCACCGCCGGGTCGAAGAAGTTGGCGGAGCCGTTGAAGCGGTAGAAGTAGAGAATGCGGGTGTGGTAGGTGGTGGCCGTAACCAAGTCCACATTTGAGATCCACAGTTTGCCGCTCGGCGTCGCTGCGTTCGGCGTCACCACAGTAGACTTCTTCACCGTGATCTTCATGGTTCACTTTTTCTGCAGGAAAAAAAAAACAAACAAGATTTTTAGAGAGAGAAACTAGTGTTATAGATACATTGGAGAAGAAAAACATGCATGAAATATATATAGCAGCATCTTCTATCAAAAAGGGCTGCAAAATTACTACACGGTTTTTAGTAAATCAGCGATCACTTAAATAAAAAAAAATCTACATTTTATGACGGACTATATATGGACT